AAATTCAAAATTGATGGTTTTTAAAGAAATTTATTATTTTTTCAATGTTCCTCTACAATAATTTACATATGAAAATGAAGTTTAAATTTTTTGATGTGATTTAAATTATTAATTATCCATTTCATATAGGCGAATTCGAAATCATTATGGGCAAAAACTTTTAAAGTTAAATAGTACAATTTTGGTACCTAGAGTTAGTAGAAAAACAAAAGGATACAAGAAAACCACTCTTTGAATAAATTGTTCCTATTAGAAATCAAATTTCTCTGAAGTTGAGGACGTGGGCGTAGACGAGAGTGCAGTGAATATCAAAGTATACACACTATCACCCTAATTAAAAGATTGCGTTTAAAATTCTCTACAAAATCATACATGATTGAAAGCAAAGATTGTTTTACAAATATGTTGAAAAAGTAAAGATTATGGATGTACAAAAAAGCTGTAAAAATCAAATATGAAAATTTTTATAGATCAGCAAATTTTTATCATGATTTGTCTGCGATAGTTTCATTACAAACAATTAAATTCTAAACAAAAGATGAGCAACAACTCTGTCTCTATAGATTTGTTATACTGTTTCCAATCGTTCAGGCTCAGTTCAAACAAAACTGACTGTCTAAAAAATCAAATGGCATTTGCTCTTCAAAAAATATCTGTCAATAAGAAAACTAGGTATTGAAACAAAGTGTACACCGTTTGCTATCACATGAGAATCTTGGCTTTCTTTCCATATAAAGAAGGTCAAAGAGTCAATCTAAAGTGATTTGCTTAAAGAGTACGATAATAGTGCAAACTGAATGCTAGCGGAATTTGTTAATTTAATGTTCTGTAAAAAAACTAGAAAAAGAAAATAGTTTAAGATTTGTACTTGTTTTCAATGCAAAATCACATCCAATCCAAAAGACAATGAAGGAACTTGTGCTTAGAGAGAATACAGAAGAAATATCAAACATACTAAGAGAACAATTTATTTTGTATCATCAAATTTTAAATGATTTCAATAAAGATGAAAAGTTAATCATAATGAATTCATCTTGCCTTTTCAAATCAGTTTCCATTTGATTTTGTTAATGTTTCAATATCTGACTTGGATCGTAGTTCAAAATACATCAGTTGTTAAAAAGCAATTGACAATCGTTCAATGTTGAGTATATATTCAATAAAATGTTCAAAAAAACATGTATATGTAAGACAAATATATAAATAGCGAAGTGTCAAACAGCAGAATTGAATTTGATCAGTGATTGAACTTTATAAAGGAATAGAAGATGGCGTTTAACATTGGTGATTATTAATAGGTGAATTATCATTAGAAATATTGAGCTGAATGTGTATTAATTGATATTTATCAGAAAAAAAAATTGATTTATCAACTATTTAAATCAACGAAAAAACATGGTAAATAGAATATCGAATCTACTACTCTCATACATATAATTTATTTTTATTTTCCGAGACCTCACTTGATATCTCAGGTTTGCGGCACAACATATTTCCGAGACGCAATATTCTTTCAAAAATAGTTACCGTTCAAAAACGTCTTAATTCGAATAAATAGAATCTCAATTCTGACACTGTATATTCAATGTTGGATATGTGATTAACTTACGTAGAAGCAGTTCAAAGGCGAAATTCGAAAATCTGAGTTTCTTGGAAAGATGTTGTCATGGAGAACTATTTGAAAAAACCATATTACAAACTCGCTAACTCCATCAAATGTCAATAGAAACTCAAATATGTTGAGATTTATCACTATATTAATATGTAATATCTACACGCAAAGCAATCATTGCTATTAGAATGAAAAATCTGAAAAGATTCTCTCGTTAGCGTTTACAAATTGTTAGAAATACCCGTAAAAAAGAAATTCGTTCGAAACAGCGTTCCAAAGCACATTTTTGTTTTGTTATATCACATTTACATGATCTAGTGATACAGTATTTGATACTATTCAAATCCATGAAAGTTATAGTGATTGAATAAAACTTGTGTAACAAACTAAACAAACTTATTTTACTATTGCTAGAAGTGTGAGGTACTGAACCTCATCTATTTTTGTTTCCTTATCTATTTTTTCGATCTCTAATTGCTGAAATTATAATGTCATATCACAATGCAGTTCAATCGAGACTAGACAACATCGTTTTATTAAATATATCCATTGGATAAAATTTTCAAACAAGTCTTACTTTTTTTTTATGTTGATCAATTAAAAAACTATATGTGTGGATCTCAACTTTATATAAATTTTATCTGAAGAAGTGTACGTCTAAGACTATAACTACAGTGACACGAGTATAAGCATATGAGTGTCGAAATTTAGTTATAAGAAGAAAGTATTCTCGAACTGATTGTTTGAGTTTTTAATGAAAAAACGCACGTTCCAACACGTTTTACAAAGTGCATTTAAACTCTAGCAAAAGCATACGGGTTAGAATAAGAAGGTATTCAAACGTAATTTTTTTCAACTTTTTTCTCGTGAGTAAATACGAAACAATTGACAAAACTTATCTTCTTGTGACCTGAACCAAATAAATGTGAGTATGTCCATAATATCGTTGAGGCTTTTGTAAAGAGATTTATTCAGAATCGTATAGAGTAACACCACATCTTATTTAAATCTAGATTTCGCTCTGATTCCTAGTCTTGATTCTGGTAGTCGATCAAAAAAATAATTAGTTCCAGTTCCGGTAAGTCTGTGTCCGACAGGTAATTTAAACACCTGTTGAAGAAGATTTCTATAGATAAAAAACTCTCAAATTTCATTGATTTATACTATTTATTCGAATCAGTTAAAAATTACTTTCAAATCATAATTGATTTTCGATATTTTTTCAAAAATTTAAGATTAGAAAAACAAAGAACTTTTTGATTATGATGAAAAAACAGGAAATTGATAAATAACATTATAACAATTTGAATTTGTTCCATCAAAATGAATATATTTTATACAAAAAAGAAGAGAGAGAGAATTACAAATTAATGGTTGTAAGATTAATGCAAACTTCTTTTAAGATAAATCTGACTGAAAAATATTTCCAAGTTTATCTATTAAAAATGTTGAATAAATAACACAATTAATTTGTCTATTTAATGATCAAAATGATATTAAGATTTTATCTCATGATAAATAGAAAAATATATTATGCAATCAACTCTATTAAATTAATGTAAAAGTGTCTTTTGTAGAATTTTCATATATTTTCGAAGAATATAATGAGTGTAAATTTTAAATTGAAAGTGTTCGACTCCTCTTTTCATTATAGATCTTAGCAACTATTCTATCTTATGTGGTATATATGAGTTTCATATATCGACACCAAATGGACTATGCTAACAAGCTTTTTCAAAAGAATCATAAAACAACTTTTTTTTTAAAAATTTTATCAAACACGATCTAAAATGACTGTTGGAGTCATTGAGTTGCAGGTGTACATTTTCGTGGACCCGAAGAACAAAAAACTGACTCTGGACTCTATCAGTTCTTGGCTTCGACTCGAACAGATCCTAACTCAAATTTTATTTCAGCAATATCCATACACTTGAATCTTGTTGCTGTACTTCACATCTAAGAACTGAGCTTAGTATGATAATTGCCCTTTACTTTTCCTTCATACTCATTGCATTATATAGGAAGTGATACATTTCATAGTCGCCATTTATTTACAATAGGTACGGATTCACAAATTCAAAGATATACTGATTAATTAGTTTTTATATCACATCACAGTTTCATTTTATTTCATGTTTTTATTTCAGTGTTTGTGCTAACAACTTTTTCTGTTGATATTCTTTTTAAGAAAAACGAATTAAAATGTAATAATTCTTATTGAATTAATAGTATACATGAAAGATTGAAAATTACACTAATGATTCCTACTGATATTTATTTTTAAATAGATAAACTAGAGATCACAACGAAACGAGGAATTAGGATGAAAGTTCGACCCAATGTGTAATTTATCATAGCACAAAATAGAGTTGTAAATAGTCGATAGGTTTCTAACTAGTGTCGAAAAAATTGTTTACGCATTAATTGCCCTTTTGAGATTCAATTTGTGAGAAGTCTTCAGGAAGATATATCATGTTATACTCATTTACATGTATCAAGTTCTTCAAAGATGGCGAAATCATCTTCAAGTACAACTAGAAGAAATCTTTGTAAAATAAATTTTTATCGGATCGGACAAGTCTATACCATGAAAAAGTTGTCCATTTTGAAGCCTGTTTCGAGCATCACAGTTTTTACAACTCTTTTCAGCGTGTAGCCTACTGCCATATTGGTATCGAATTAGACTGATCAGAACTGTTGTTCAAAGAAAGACTATACAGTTTCTATCACTATTATGACTGCGAGATATAAAAAACAATATTTTCAATTGTCTTGTTTTTCAAAAAAAATCCAAATTTCCTATCATACCATGACTTAGATAACCGACGAACATGTAAATGTTTCGTGCCTGTGCTGATAAAATCCATCACTCTCATAACCAGACTTGAGGGTGTGAGTGTGACTTTAGATTAGAAGAAAAGGGTGTGGGTGTGGGTGTGGGTGTGGGCGAGGGTGGTTAGATGTATATGTGAGTGTCATTGAACAGTAATCCCAAACTCACGCACACGCACACGCACACCCACACCCACACTCTCACCCACACCCACACCCCACACCCACCCACACCCACAGTGTATACAATGCATAACCATGTGATACGGTGGTGCGGAATCCTGTAAATTGACCTAAGAGTATTGAATAAATGAAAAGAGATTTATTTTATTTACAAGTAATGAGAAAAATCCAGGCTGATTCAATATGATTGATAAAAATTCAATGAAACCATCGTACTTCAACGTAACATGATAGGAAAAAATCTCGTACTCACGTTTTCTGTAGTCTACTTGGTTACGACTTATGACGAAACTAGAAGTTCGAATCCTGTCTTGACAAATCAAAAGGATAGAAAAATAGTTTTCTTGATAAAATATCATTTTTTTGCCCATGAAGTGCACTGACTATCTAGATTTTCAGTCATTCTGTCCCATTAGTGTTGTTGTTACTCTTCATGAGTTTCAAAGTCATCTGTGACTGGTGTATGCGAGTACCAACAGCAATCATTCTATTACCTTTATTGCATTTTGATCGAAATCGATTGCTAAAAAGCAATAGTTGCGACATGTTGATTGATTTGTATCTTATAGTTATACAGATAAGTCTCTTTTCGATTGATTTACCTTCATGATCATTCTAAGTTTTAGCCTTAATGACAAATTCTATTCGATACCATCGTCTCTGTAACTTATAGGCAATAACTTGGCTTTTGTTCTATAAAAATGTTGTTCGATAAGTATATTTATATATAGAGCATAATAGAACTTTTATTTTCTTAAGTTGTAAATATATATAATGAAATGATAACATATAAGACCAAGTAAAGAAGGGTTCGGATCACTTGGCCGACAACTCATTTTGCCGTCAAAATTTGCCCATATTTTAGTCTACTAAACCTGATAGTTTCCAGGGTACACCGCGATGGTGAGAGTCCTGGATGAACTGTGAGGGGTGCAGTTGGAGTGATGGTCATCCCTTCACCCTCACCTACACCCTTCATAGCTCATCTCGGACCCTCACCATCGTGGTGTACCCTGAAAACTATCAGGTTTAGTAGACTAAGATATGGGCAAATTTTATCGGCAAAGTGTAAACTTCGGCCAAGTGAACGCGACCCGTAAAGAATGATACGTAAAATTATTCACGTACGACAGAATTACAACAATGAATATTGAAGAGTCTTTTGAATTTTCTCTTTTATGTATTTGAATCAGAGCTAAGACGCAAGTACAACAGTACTCGTACTTGCATGAAAATATTTGTACTTAGTACTTGTACTCATCTGAGCGTACACGTACTCGGATGAATCGCTATTGTATGGAGGTAGCCAGAAGTCCTCAACTGCTACACTATGAGAGTACCCATAGGTCGTCGAATACTATCCTATAGGATTCAAACGTTGAATCACGATTTCAATTGACTATAAGTATACGGGCCAAAGATATACACATGTAAAAATTCACCCGAGTATGAGTACGCTCAGACGAGTATAAATACCAAGTACTTTCTTGCAAGTACAAATACTAATACTCGCACATGCCGTATTAGTACTCGGCTTAGCTCTGATTTGAATGATTCTGTGAATGAATTCTGTTCTTGAATGATCGAAATTTGTGAATGATTTTATAGATAAAAACGACAATGTAAGGTGCAATCGTTCGCAGAGTTATTGTTAAACCTCCATAAAATCCTAAAAGAGTGATGATAATCTGTATAGAATCTCTTCGAGCGCTAATAGAATAGACACAAGTTGTTGGTTGACATTCATTGAAAAATCTCGGATAATCAATATCAACTGACCATTGTTCATCGAAGGCAGCATCAATTAATTGTTCAATGGTACGATTTATTGGATATTGATTATTTGATGAAGCAATTAATGATGTGACTGGTAACTGATTGATATTGATTTGATCAACACATGATTGATTGTAAAGACATATAAGAGTCGATTGAAAAAGAGATTGCATTGGATGACAACCGACAACAAAACCAAGAACAATCTGTCCATTATAATAAACAGGTTCAACGCATGCTGATGATGTAGCACATGAACAATTTCCATGTGAAACAGGTTTCAAAGGAATAGGTAAACCAATAAGATTAGGATTATATTTTATAGGTGAAAAAATCCAATTTGTTGAGTAAATACTCAGTATTTGGTTGTCATTTATTAAATCTCGTCCACATTTCCACAAAGAACTACGATCAACTCGACTGATTGCTTGGATTTGCTCAATAGTATCATTAACTTGACTGATCAGTTGAATTTGAGTTATTACTTGAGCGCTAATCAAAGAAGATGAAAGAAAAGTTGAAGCATATCTTACCATATTTCCTTGATACATAACGCAAAATGAATAAAGACCTTGAAAATAAACTACACCACGTCCATAAAAATCGTTTAAACTTAAATTAGACCAATCACCATTTCCAAAAATACTTTTTATCCATTCTTGTTCAATAAATGGACTTGAACATACCTCATGTATTGATGTATTCACTTGAACAAATTTTCCATATGGAATTGTAACATGACTACAAGGACATTGAAGTGCAGATATCTCCTTAGACTGTAGTAAGTTTTCATAAACTTGTTGAGTTGGATTTTTAATCGATACCGTTATGGTCAATTGAGTCCATGAATAGTAAAATAGAAGAGTTAACATACCAATGATTAAGAATATAAGGTATAATCGAGTTGAATAACGTTCTCGTTGAAGAGTTATTTCCGATGATTTATATCGATTATAGAATAAATTCAATTGAACAAGTCGAGAATGAAATTCACTTAAGTTACGACGAAAGGCATAGCAACAACCTATAAAGATGTTGTCCAATTGGTAATAGATTAATATAAAGAGTTCTTTTGAAATGCAGTAGTTTGTTACATACGAATCAGAAACTTTTATCATCGTTAAAGTTCATTCATAGTTAGACCCACAAAGAAAAATGTTTAAGTATGAAGAGATAATATTGATTATTCTCTAGAATTCGATCATTTTGAAAAGTCCAAAAGTCGCTTATATTTTCATTGCTGAGAAAACAATTTTGTTTCATCAACTTGACTATTTCATAGGTCCACGAAAAACAAAACTTATCCTGTTTTACTTTTCTATTTCTAATATTTGATATTTCAATTCTTTTACTGCCGTTAAGTCTTTTAATGCCTTTAGTCCTTTTAGTCCCTTTACTCCTTTTAGGACCCTTAGCAGCTTTACTAGTTTTGGCCCTGTCGGTTTAGAGGCACTAAAAGGACTAAAGGGACTAAAGGCCTAAATGGTAGACATGAGCGGGACCAGCCTTTTTTGGTCCCGATCCCGATTAACAAAAATTCTTGGTTCCGGTCAAAAAAAAATTTGGTCCCAGTCCCGGTAAAAAAACAAATTTTTGGTCCCGGGACCAGTTTGCCCATCTCTACTAAAGGGACTAAGGGGACTAAAAGGACTAAAAGGATTAAAGGCCCTAAAGGAACTAAAAGGATTAAAAGGAGTAAAGAGACTAAACGCTTTAAAGGTTCTAAAGGGACTAAGGCAAGGGGGAAAAGCGAGACTTCACGTACTTGAAAAAAATTGGAAGTACGAATGAAGTACAACTGAAGTACGGAAAGTCCGAGTGAAGTACGGAAAGTACGAGTGAAGTACGCACTATGTGAAGTCTCGCTTTTTCTTTCCTTGATTATTTCTCACTGCTTGATTGAACGTTAACACAAGCAAAGAGACATGTTGAAATGTTTCAGATGAAACAGTTTCAAAAAAGTTCCCTCTCATCATACACTATCGATTGAATCCAATCAGAGAAATCGTGTGTGAAAATCAAGCTCTTATCAGTCTCATCTTCTTCCAATCAAACAAAGATATTTCAATGTCTTTTAATCAATTATACATACGTCGTCTGTGTGTGCTGAGCCAACTTCCTAATTGAACCAAGAATGGAATGAGAAGTTTGAGTGAAACATTCAAACCACCGAAAAGTCCAAGTAAAATTGTTACAAGAAAGAGGATATCTCCTCGCTGAGTAACCGAATAAGTGCAGTATTGAGGAGCACATTGATTGAAATATGAATCATAAGATATTAAATTCGTCCAATTTTCAACCATCAACTCTTCGACCATGCTGGAAAATAATGTAGATGAATTAAATCGACTTGGAATCGTACTGTTAAGCATTGGTGGTATTTCTGAAAGGTAGTAAGTCCTGCTTTGCCAATAATCAACCACCTAAAATAAATATTCAACGGCTAGAAAATAAGATTGTGTTTGATTTTAATCGTTCAGTCTATACAACAATGCAAAAGATTTTATTTCTGTAAAAAGTCTCGAAAATTTTGAAAGATTTAACAGGTGTTGCTTTACTCTCAAATATAGTGCAATGAATTTCAAGTCTGTAAATCAAAAAACATTCTTGTTGATTTATATCGCTTTAACCAACATTAACAAAAGTAAGTTGCAATTCATTCTATTTTACGTCATCGCCGACTATCATATAGTTTAATCATCTTTTTATTCTCTTTGCTGCTAAATGATTTTACACTGAGAAAAGTGTAATCGTAAGAGATAGTTTTGTATAAGTAAAGGTTTTCTCAACTTACTGTTTGGTAACAGTCCGATGAATACCAGCAAGCGAGAGTTGATTGAAGAACTGATTCCATAGGGCTGCATCCTAACCGTGCACCCGATACGTTAAACACCGAATTGAATGAATTATTTGTCGAATTATACGTATAAAAAGCTGCATCCTTTGAGCATCCTGTTGGATCGCATACACACCAACATCCCGAAAAGAAGTCAATGGGTTCAATTTGAACTTGACTACCAGAAGGTGTTGTTGTGAATTGGAATTTGTATGTAATATCAGACACGGCTGAAACAGGTTGTGCAAAACCCATCATTTGACGCGTTTCTCCGATACCTCGACTAAAGACATACTGAAGATTAATTATAAAAGAATCAACTAATTGTGTAGCTTGATCATCAAATGTATCATACGCCAGTAATTTGTTGTTAACAAAAAGTGTGGCTTGAAACATTAATAATTGTTGATAAAGGGTTTGTTGAGCAAGTGCACAAAATGTATAAAACCATTGAAAGTATTCAACGCTCATCAGCATGAAATCGCCTGGGTAATAAGGAATGTCTGTTTTGATCGCTGCTAATTGTGCGAAAAAGTTTGGCGAGATCAATGAACTTGAACATATCTGATGATAACTTGTTTCAATCGAGATGAATGTTGAATATGGGATAGCTATTTTACTGCAAGTACATTCAAGAGTTTTTGAATACTCAGCATAAGTTTCGTCATAGATCTCTCGAGAAGGATTTTGAATAGTGTAAACTTTTGTTTCTTCTATAGTAATGGCATAGAAGAACAGAATGATAAAAGCAATTACCAAAGAGAGAATATAAAGACGAGTTGTTTGTCGTTCATGTTTTTGTGTTGAAGGATCATTTGAATTTGAATCGAACAAATTCAGCATTTTTACTTTAAGCCATAACCAGGCGATTTTTTCTTTAGCATTATCTATGCATTGCAAAAAGAATTTCCAATTAACAAAAGACATTCATGAGATATTTACCTAGCCTAGAACGTTCTTCTGCCCAAGCAGTCGTGGACGGTTGAGTAATGTCATTACTTGATCGAAAGCGTTGTTTTATTTGTATTATTAGTTGAACAATGAATGGAACAAGTAACCGTAAAACAGTATTGAGACCACCGATCAAAGCAAGAATAGTAGTGAAAATAATCAGAAAATCATTGCGTTGATTATATGAATAGGTACATGTATTTGGAGCACATTCAGCATAATAGGCAGCAAAGGAGGTATTTATCGACCAATCCTCTACCATTACTTCATCGACGAGCATTTCAACAGTCGCATTTCGAGGAAATCGACTTGACAATGTTGACAACAAAGGTGAAAATGATGTTGAATTTGAAATAATAAGTTCAAGACAGCTTCGATTATAATAACATTCCAATGTAGACGCAAGCAAACCGTCTATAGGAAAACAACCGACTTGAATGCCTGTGATTGGAATGCTTTGATTCGCAAAATTTCCCAAATTATAAAAGCCGAATGTCGGCATTTGTCGAGTAGAATAAAGTGCAGCAGGCATTGCACACTTGTCAATTGTTAAGCAATAACAAGGAGTTGAGTTGTTGTCCCTTTGATATACATTAATACTGCTACTTGCTGTTGAGGATTCATTGGATGGTATATAAAGAAAAAAATTTGTTCCAAGACCAGACATCTCATGAGTACTGGATGCTACTAGCCGGAAAGCATTGATACCACCTGACAACTGTGCTTGACTTGTCGATTTCAGAGTTTCTGTTTGAATGTTGACTTGAACTGCAACTAAAGAAGAAGGCATTGCTTTGGCGCTGACTAATGATGAAGCGAGAGTATTAACAGCAGCATACGAACTCGCTTGTTGAGCATTCGTACAGAAACTGCGAAGAAGTTGTGCATGAGCACTGATTACAGTTCGAACATCCATTGGCCAAATGTTAGAAATATTCGCTCCATACGAAGCTGAAATCCATTCTTGTGTCACAAATGAACTCGAGCATACCTAGAATGATGTCAAGTGTGGAAATATCAATCATCACTATTTACTTCCTTCTTTATGATAAAACCTCTCTTTACAGAAATGTGTCATCGTAGTACATATGTCCGAATACCTAGGTCCACCAATCCTACAATCAGTTTCGATAAGATCTTGTAAGATCCGATTGGATTCCCATCGGATCCAGTGGGATACGATAAGAATTTATAGGAAACGATCGAATCCTATAGGAATATCGACGGAAACCGTGAAATGGAATCATATTGGAATCCTGTCAGATGGTAGATCCGATCGGATCCGAGTGTTGAGATCTGATACTAATTAATTGAGTACTAATTAGACGAGCACTAAAATTAGATGAGTACTAATTAATTAAATACTGGTTAGATGAGCACTAATAAGGTGTATGAAGATCAAAAAGTGAACTCGTAGTCTCGAGATTACATGTTGAGCTCACTTCTTTAGGCCTTCTCTGGGCAACTTACTCGTGAGTTGTTTAACTCACAAATGACTGTGAGTGAAGTGACACCCCTATATATATATGTGGCCCCCCACGCACATTCATATCCGCGGACGTCTATATAATTCACTCACGCATATTGAATCCGAGTGTCAGATCACATCGGAAATTCAGTAGCATCCTACCGTGGGATCCGTTAGTGGTTCCATTACACGGATTCCTATTGGATGTTGTCGACTGGCTGGATCCGGTATCGGATTGATGCAGCTGGGTAGCACAAGGCATGTGATTTGAATCCCATAAAGGGATCATACCATTTCGTTGTTAGCTTAGCATCTAACACAATCAGGTGTGGATATACAGTTGTAAGCCTATACGATTCCTTCCACTGATCTATATATGTATCTTGCAGACTTTTCTTCACAAACACTTTTCAAGAAGCTTTCTAATTGCGGAAATGATTGATAAATATCTCCTGGTTCTTCAGAAAACGTTTCCTTCTAATTTGTAAAGGAATTCATCAATAGGTCCATTATTCGATAATATTTACAAAAAGATCAATCAGTTTTATTAAAACTGGTACAGAGAAAATTAGCTTTGTTGGAAAGTTCTTCGGAAAGATTCTCCAGACTCGTCCACTTTTCGAAAAATATGTGACTCTATACTCCGATCTAGATGAATAATGCATGTCAATTTTTGAAACGATGATAGACTGAAATGTACAGTGTGCTCGGGACTTGATTTACGGAATCGATCTTTAGCAGTTTATTTTTTGTGTGGTTCAATCCAGGCGGATTTGAGGCCATTATGTCGTTTTAAGACTATCCGGTACGATTCAACCTATCCTCCAAGCGACTTGAGATTGACCGGCATTTTTATTATTTTAGCTAGAAAAAGCGAGTTTGGTCGGTCTACTAGGGTGCGATTTGTCCTTACATTGTATCCTCATTAGAGTCCGTCGAGTCCGGATCTGGGTCCAAAAATTCTCTGTTCATCGGGTCTGGACCGGGTTCGGATCCGAAGATTTTGAATCTAACAGGCTGTATTTAAGAGTAAAAGTCGATTATAACTCGACTATTTCAAGATCACTGTCAAAATTATCCTAGAAACTTATAGAGTATGTTAGTCACCGATATAAATAAGCGAAAAAGCAAACGTCGTATTTTCGGAGCGATTATCAGGTTCAGATAAAAAGAACTTCATTAAGAGTATTAAGAATGCGATTCAAAATCCGGGTCCGAGTCCGAAAAATCTTGGACTCGATGGGCTCTAGTCCCCATAACTTGGTAGAGACAACTATTTATTTATCTGTGAATTGTCCTACCTGATGATAGATAGGCTGAATTTGAATGAATCGTTCATATTTGACAGCAATTTGAGAACAAGGACATTCCAATGTCTCCGAATATTGCAGCTGAAGTGTTTCAAATAATTCCAGTGATGGATCTTGAACGGTGACATGAACTGTTTGAATTCCAAAACCTGTATAGATGACCAATATCAGAAGAGAAATACTAAGTAGGATGAGATAGAGACGAGTCGACCATCGCTCTCTTCTGACGACTTCGGCGTCATTTAGCTCACTTTCAAATAGATTTAATTCGACAAGCACACGACGAATTAGAGAGAACAATGTTTCCATTTTGAGAAACCTGCAATAGAGAATGCCATTGAATGATAAACGCAAAAAGCGTTTATATATGGTCTTGACTTTTGCTTTTTATGTTATGAAAATATTCAGTCTGATGAATGTGAAAATGTCATATTTTCGTCTGTTTTTTTTTAAAGGTATTATATGGAAGGTTTTTAGATCTCAAGATTAGTTGTCCATTTTATAGTTACTTTTCGGTTATAGACTTCGTAACTAAAATCTTTTTACAGGGCAAATCGCAAGGAATGTTCCAATAGAGAAGTCTAGACTTAAGAGAAAGGCTTTTAGGATGACACCAAATCTGGAATTTTGACTATAGTATCAATCATGTTCATTTCTGAGAAAATGTGCATGGATCTTTAACGATCTTGTCTCAAATCCTATATAGTAATTCCTGTTTGCAGAATTCCTCTTGATTAAATAGGAGCCTGTTCAGATATTTTTCTTAATTGAAAATACAGGATTCTGCCAGGATTCACTCTGGATCTTATTAAGGATCCTGCCTGGATTATTAGCAAGGATGTGACCAAGTTTTTATCGGATTTCCATCAAGATCTGTGCCAAATCTCTCTATTAGGATCTTTCCAGGATTTATAACGGGTGGCCCAGAATAAATTATACTGTTTGTATTTTTAATATTTCTCTTCTATTTTTCGTTTGATTCAAACTCTTTTTTTTATCAAAAGATAGCACTTGAAATTCTCTACAAATCCATATATAACTGGAGTCAAGAACTGTCTTAGGTACGTTTCGAAAAAGATGAAAAACGCAAACAAACAAAAAAGCTGTAAAATTTAAAATT